ATGAACTTCACGTGCACCGCCCCATAGGGTTGATACCCACAGACAGGCCATCGTACACAGAAGTCCGTCCAGGTCTGTGTATGTGGAGGGTGGCCAGACAACAAAAGGAATGCATGACTGATGCTGAGTGGCCAAGCAATATTTATTTTACATGCCTGACGCTTCCCACTCACAGCACTAGCCCTGCTGCCCCAAAACTACCCACCACAGCAAATGATGGCTCTGGGGTCCTAAGACTGTGCACCCATCTCGGGACCCCAGGACTCAGCCCAGGGCCTGGACTGTGGCCGATGCCAAATCAGGCTTTGTGGAACCCATGAAGACGGGCCAGTGGCATCTTCTAAATATGTTAGCCACAAAATTGGTCCAGAAGGATGGGAAAAGTGCACACCATTCCACATGGATGGCTTTCCAGACAAAACAGCAGTACATGTGGAGACGTTCTCACGTGGTGTGCTGTCTCCACACAGCTCGCGTCTGAGAGGAACCTGCAGGGGGAGCCTTCTCTGAAGGAGACAGTAAATACTGGGAGTCACATGCCAACTCTTTAGGGTTAACATTCCCAGAACATTTTACAGCAAGGTATTTACGTCCTCTTCATCTCCCAGATATTCTTCTCCTCAAAGGCACTTTGTGCCACAGAGAGTGCAGTACAGGTCAGCCCCAGCCTGGCTTCGTCCAGGGAGATCTGACTGTAACTGCACATACTGCTGACAGGTGAGCAGAACTCCTGCCTTAGGGATGAGGCAGATTCAGGGTCCAGTTCCCAAAATTAGTAGTTTGCCCTCTCCCAGCCAGGCCCCCAAAAAGCCCTTGGAGATTCGGGCAGCAGCACTCAGGCCTGCCGGGGACAAACCCACCATCACATGCCCAGAGCCCACCAAGGGCAGAGGAGGCCAGGCTTTCCTAGGAAGTACTGGTGACACCTGAAAAGCCCCTCAGCCTGCAGCCTTGGCTCTCTCTGTACACCAGCACCCAGAGCCAAAGAGAAGACCCAGATGCAGGGCCTGGAAGTGGGGGACACAGTGGGAGGGCCCGCAGGCTCTGGGAAGTGAGCCAGAACATGCGCCAGAGGCAGCCGAGCCACCCCACACCCCACTGGGAAGCTCTCGGGCAGGATGTGCCAGGCTCCAATTTGCTGAAGGAGCCACCCACTTGGGGAACAGCCTCCACTTGGCCCCAACCTACCCAATCCCGCATGACTTCTCACCCCCAAAACAGGCCCTTGGCTCCAAAAACGTCAAGATCCTCATCCTTCTGTGGTCACACTCTTTCCAGCCTCTAGACTTTGCTCCAGCCTGGAATGCCATCTCTTCTCCCTGTTCCCAACTCAAAGCCCAGCCCTACGTACCCCATACACCTTCTCTGGTGATGCCAGCCAGCAGACCTTCTCCTCTGAACTCTGTGTCACTGAGGGGCAGAGCTGTGGCTTGGCCCCTCTGCCCTCATACTCCACAGAGGCCACTCTCCTTTCTCCTCCCAGCTACATTATAAGCACCTGCATTGCAGGAATCAGATCACCCCTCCTCTTTTTTTCTAAATCTCTTACTACAGTGTCGGGTAATACAGAAAGTGTCCCCTCCAAATACCCACTAAATACTTCTATTTGATATTATGTCCCTGTGGGCCATCTCTCCTCCCACAGATCAGTCCTTGCTCACTCATTCATCTAGCAAACACCTGAGTGCTTAGTAAGCACCAATCCCGCTCATTTTCCATGCCACCTTTCCTGCCCTCTCCCCCAAGAGGAGCCCCTCTTCCCCCTGTGCACCCTAGCAAATCCTACAGCACCTTGCACAACGGTCTGTCTAGCATCTGTCTCCTCCCTTGGGGAGTTGACCTCCAAATGTCACAGCCAAAGGCTCCTAGAGAGCAGGGCCTTGTCCCTCCTGCACAGGCACACAGCCAGCATGCAGAAGACGGTTCTGGAATGACTCACTCAGGTCATTATCTTTTGGTGGAAAGGAGTAAAATTAAGCACAAATGACTTTTCTACCTTGAGACCACAAGGCTTTCTTTAGATTTGTGCACCCCTGTGGGTCACACCATTGAGAAGTCACCTTCCATGGGAAAGAGGGAACTTGTTGGCAACTTGGAGAGATGTGCAGCTGGCAGCGTGCACCTGAGTCACTGAGAGCCAAGCAGGCCAGCTCAGTCTGAGCAATCACTCCTCCACTCAGTGAACATCCACCAAGGAGGAGGATGAGGAGGAGGAGGAGGCACTGCTGACTTATACAAGCTGAAGAGGAATTTCAGGGACAGCATTACAAGATGAGCAGAGCCTGCCTAGAAAACAAACCCATCTGCCTTAGCGTTCTTCAGACAAAAGGAGAGGCTCTTGTCTCTAACATTATCGCAGGAATTTAACAGGGAGCCTCAGAACATAAATCAATGACAAAACTTGTTAAAGCTACTTGATTTAATATATGCTGACAATACATACTGGCAACTTCCACCGACAGTTTTTTTTAACAAGCAGCTGAAGACTTTTGTAATAACACTGTATTTAGCTACTCAATTTTCCCAGAGCAGTTTCTGTCATTTCTGCTACTATTACTCCCATTTTACAGACTGGAGAATTGAGGCAAAGAAAACTTAGTAACTTGCCCAAAGCCACACATATGTAGTAAGTGACGAGGCAGGGAGTCAAACCCAGGCCACCTGGCTCCAAAGCACACGTCCGAATCTGCCCCGTTGCCTCTCCTGGTGTCATTCGCAAGGCCTTCCGTGTGTGCTAGCCTCTCTGCACCACCACCTAGCTCAAGGCAGGTTCTGATTAATACCAGACGGTAATGTCACCACAGCTACAAAACAGAAAGTTTCCCCATGACTTTAAAGAATTCTATCTTTAGTTTTGGTTCAGTGTTGAAAATAACAAGGACCTGCATTTCTAAAGGCCAGCTCCACAGGAACTCACAGGAGGCTCTGTACAGCCACCACTGGCTCCTGAGTGCTTCTGCAATGCTGGCAAGGCCACAGCCTCCCTGGGCGCCAGCAAGCGGGGTCTGCCCACCTGTGAACCCAGACCGGCATACGGGGGCGGAGGCGCAGTACTGAATTCCAGCATTGTCCCAGAAGCACCTCCCAAGTGCACCTTATAACCGCCTGTCCTAATACAGCTTCATCTAGTTTCACCACAACCCTCCCCCCACCCCGTGAGAATGCACCTGACAAAGCCAGGGAGCCCCTGCCGCCGAGAGGCTGGGACATGCCCATGACTCTCGCTGCCCCTGTCACTCTTGCTGCCTTCTGTGAAATGTTTCCCAGGGCCAATGTGCCTCTCTGGCTACTGAAACAAGCTCCAGCCTAGATACCCACCAGGAAGGCTGCTACCAGCTGAGGGGTAGGGGCTCGGGCTGTAACATTTCCCACTGGAGCCTCACAGGGTCTAGCACACAGTAGGTGCTGAATAAACACATATTTTTAATAAAATGAAGTATTCAGCTAAAAGTCAATAATAACGTTTCCCCCTTACATAGGAAAGAAAAGTGTTGATAGAATTTTGAGCTCTGGGCCGGCCCCATGGCGTAGCAGTTAAGCGCATGCACTCCACTGCTGGTGGCCCGGGTTCAGATCCCAGGGGCGCACCAATGCACTGCTTGTCACGCCATGCTGTGGCGGTGTCCCACATAAAGTGGAGGAAGATGGGTACGGATGTTAGCCCAGGGCCAGTCTACCTCAGCAAAAAGAGGAGGATTGGCGTGGATGTTAGCTCAGGGCTGATCTTCCTCACAAAAAAAAAAGAATTCTGAGCTCCTTGCCCATCCTTTTTAAACTTGGGCACCTGTGATCACTTGTTTCTATTAGACTATAATATCAGATAGCATTTGATGTCAAGCAAAATCACACACCTAATTAAGTTTATAAAGCTATTTCATGCGAGCCCCCAGTAAACCCCAGGGCATCATCCTCATCTCCTGCACCTCTGGAGCCTCCTGCGTCAGGAAAGCGCCCACGTGGATGCTTATGCCTATGTCTATATTCTCATTTCCTCCTGGCAGCCTCCCATGAGGGCTAGTATCATCACCCCGTTAGAGATGAAGACTCTGAGGCTCAGATCAGTCAAGCAACTTACCCAAGGTCACACAGCTAGTAATGGCACAGCTGGGATCAGAACCCAGATCTTTCCAACTGCAAAGCCAGTGCTCTTTCCAATAAGCCCACATCTGCCAGGAAAGTTCCAGGGGTTTTGCCACAAGAACAAAATTTCATCAAAAATGGACTTTCCAGGGCCGGCCCGGGGCATAGTGGTTAAGTTCGTGCACAACACTTCAGCAGCCTGGGGTTTGCAGGTTCAGATTCCGGGAGTGGACCTACCACCATTCATTAAGCCATGCTGTGGCGGCGTCCCATATGAAAAATGGGGGAAGACTGGCACAGATGTTAGCTCAGTGACAATCTTCCTTAGCAAAAAGAGGAGGATGGGCAACAGATGTCAGCTCAGGGCCAATCTTTCTTACCAAAAAAATAAAAAAGGACTTTCCTTTGACCAGCAGGCAGGAAAAGAAGGTGGGGCTCAGGAAAGGAGAACTTCATGTGCATAGACTGACAGAAGATCCTCCAACAAGCATGAGGGCAGTTTGTTCAGCCCTCTGGCCACTTGCCTGCACTGTCCAGCATGACGTCACATCACTACCATCCATTTTTCTATACAAAACTCAACAGTAATGCTGCCTCTCAGGCCAAGCCCAATAATTAGTGTGTGTCTCTCCAAGTCACAACGTGGCTAAACATGAAAAGGAAGACCCGAGAATGGACAAACTGACGAGATGTGAAAAACCGCTTTAACCTCTTTAGGCATCACACTTTTCTAGCAAGGAACGTTCACCACCTTCACTGAGAGCTAAGCTCTACCTGCTGCCATCTAGATCTGACCACCAGTGCCTGGCTGGTTTTGAGGTATGTTCATCTCATCCCCCCCATCCTGGCCAAAAAAAAAGACCTCTCAGGCACCATTGGCCTGGTCTCTGCATTCATCAAAAAGAAAGTACGGGCATCACCTCCCAGAAGCTGTCGCTGGACACTTCTACTCCCACGGAATCATCGTAAGCGACAGACATCTCTTCAAAGGGTGAGGGAGCAGCAGGGAACGCGTCAATTCAGAGGTCAACTTCAGATGCTCAAAATCCGTAGTCAAACCTATAAAAGAAAAACATATCATTGTGGTTTTTAAATGCCCAAGTGAAAAGGCAAGCCATCTCCATTTTACAACTTTCATTTCCATCACTGCCTTTGCAAAGAACAGTCTAAAATGTTTCCTCTAGGTGGGAGACAGTCAATAAACTAAACTCTGGGCACTGACATCTACGTGCATGTTACATGCTGGGGTGTGTGTATTTCACATCAACAAGTAAACCTCAACATCTTACTGAAGAGCTCAAAGAGCTTTCTGAAGAACAATTTGCATTCTTAGATCAACAGACTGACAACCTGACTAAATAATCTTCCTCATCCCTTAGAGAAAAGGACAGAGAACTTGTGAGACTACGCAAAAGCAGGCAGAGTCCCTGCAATTCTGGGCTCGCCCTGTCCCAGCCTATCCTACCCACCCGGCAGGACGAGGACCTGGGGTAAAATGTGGGTGGAAATAATCCACCTTTGACCCCAGACTCCACTCTCCACAGAGTTTCCACCACGTTCCGCTTGTGTTGGGCATTGTCTCCTCCCCTCCCCATGACTGACTCAGCCACTGAAGCCTCGAATTCAGCCCAGTTTATTCTGACACCATCTATGTGAGGGTCAGCTAGAAAGAGTAAAGACAAGTTAAACTGATCACTTCTGAGTAACAACTCAATGTTCTAAATCCAGGCAAGGGCAAAGGGATGATTATTTCCCTGCTAGAGGTAAGAAGGTGGAGGACGCCAGCTACATTCATAAACACAAAGCACTTTGATGGAAAGACCTGTCCACAACCAGATAAGACCCCCTGACTTCTTGGTGAAAAGGTGACTCCACCCTCCTTTACATCCCTCTGTGCTCAGATTGCACAGCCAGAGACCCGAAACTTTCCTAACTACCAGTCAGGAGTCCCAAGCCTCAGCTTAAGCGACGGGAGGGAGAAGGTGGGGCGGGGTAGGCAGAGTGATCTACACTGTTATACCTACGAGGTACAAGACTGTGTTCTAGGTACTTTTCCATGTTATCACATTTAATCCTTGCGATTCCCTGTGAGACAGTCTAGAAGCACAGTAAGGAACACAGGCTCTAGAGTCAGGCTGCCTGGGCTCCAACTCCAGACCCATTCATTACTCACTAGCTGGGCAACAGTGGGCACGTTACTAACCTGTCTGGGCCTCAATGGCCTTATCTGTAAAAGAGAGACAATAATGGAACCTGTATCACAGCATTACTGTGAGGATCAAATGAGGCAATACACACAGGGGTGAACAATACACGGTCCATAGTAAGCACTATGGACATAGTAAATTATAATGTAATTATTATTAGATAGTAATTATTATTACTATCATTACTTCTATCTCTCCTTTATAGTTGAAAAAACTGACGCTTAGGGAGTTTAAGTAACTTGCCCATGGTCACCCAAGTATTGAATGGTGGAGACCAGCATTTGACACCAACTCTGCATGTTTGCTAAGGTATTGTTCTCTCCACCATACCAAGATATTTTCCAAAAACGATCTCAAATTTACGTCAGGTGTCCTATAACCCAAGAATTAATTGCTAATGAAAAGGGTTTAATTTGATGGATTTCACAGCTTCCAAAATTGAACACAGCACCGTACGGGGCCAATAAACTCAAATTATGGTGTTTCAAAGTACTCCAGATGCACGCATGCCATTACCAGGCAGAGTTAAACGGGTGCCACACACACACGCTTCCTGACAGCACGCTAGCTGCATCTCTGCTCCGTAATCACAGGGGCAGCACGTCATTCTAATCGCTGGGCTATCACAAAGCATGGACAGGCCTCTCTGGCCTGGGCCCTGGTGCCATGTTTCACAGCATTCTCTTTTTCTGTGGAATCTTATGCTCTTAGCCAGGGCCCTCCTAGAAGCACCCCAGCCCCTGTCTGCAACAGCAGAAAGTCTTCTACCCAGAGCAGCTGCTGTCTGCTCTGGGCTCCTCAGGGATTAGCTGGGCTTTTGGCTCAGGCAAGTCTCAAAGTGGCCCGATGAAGCCACTGGCGAGGCTGCCTGGCCAGCTCCAGAGAGCAGCTGCAGGGAGCAGGTGTAGGGAGGAGCAGGCGCCTGCCCTGGATGGAGAAGCAGCTTGACACTTGAAAAGCTCAGGCAGAGGAATTCATCTGGGTTCAGCCATGGTTTAGACACAAAGGGAGGATCAGTTCTGCACAAGATTTATTAAGCACCTACTAAGTGCCAAGAGTCGAGAAGAGGTTGCCTCTGGGCTCAGCACAAAAAGGCACGGTTGACTGCTAGGAGCAAGGACCTGAATCACCGAGAAGAGATACCCTGCCAAGTAACAAAACCAAGAAACACTGGAGCTGCTGACGGCATCGGAGACGAGGCGTAAGCTTAGCTGACCAGTGGGAATAAGGAAAGCCCAGCTTGCACACAGTGGCAAGTTGGTGATTTCCCCCAGTCCAGGGCCCTGGATCTCACCATAGCACTGTGCTCAGTGACTGTGACATCCCCAAGATCACACCTGCACGAGGGCCAAGCTGACCCCACTGGTACCCCATGTAGCCACAGCCCAACGTTTAACAACTACAGTCAGCTCAACTGCCCTCGTGTGTGCTAGAGTTCATTTCAATGCCGAACCAGCTCCCTCACACAAATTCTTCAGTTCTTCTCTTCCCCACCTCCCGACTTACACATTCTCCAAGCTTATATAGGAATGCCATTATTAATCTAAATAAAACAAAATTAGGAAGGCAAATCTCTTTTTGTAAAATTGTACAAGGCATTCCAGACCCAAATATAAATGACTTTTGGAAGCTCTGTATCACTACTTCACTTTTGACTTGTAATAATTCAGAATTAGCGACATTTTTCTTCTGAACCCTTGAAGCAGATCTTACATAGGGTCTCATTGAACTGTTCAGCCTCCTCTAAGAGGTCAGAAAGCAGCAAGGACATTCACAGTCCTATAGAGGAAACTGAGGCAAGGCATTAAAAACCCAAATAGACAGAAAGTGAGACGAAGAAGGGAAGATCTCCTGCCCAAAGAGTTAGTGAGATAATGTAGGTGAAAGCCTAGGATGGTGGCAATCAGGAAAGTTCAGGTTCAAATCCCAGCTCTACCATTGATGAGCTGGTGACCACGAGAAAGCCAGTTAGTTCTCTGAGCCCTGGTTTCCCGAGCTGTGCTCCACCAGGTTTCAGTGACGGTTAAACAAGATGGTACACAAAGGCGCCAGGACCCAGGCTGCAGCCCATGGCAGGGCCCCCTCAGTGGGAGCCTTGTCCTCACCCAGCACCCTTGGTTCCAAGTGTCCTCACTACCTCCTGCAGCTCCACATGACAGTCACAAGGAAGGCAGGCAAAAGCGAGGGCCTGGGGGACAAGGATCTGTACCACAGAGAAAACCCAACTGATATTAAGCACTGGTCGACCTGAGAACTCATCTCTGACATTCACAGAGCAACACCAACCTCTGGGGGACTTGGGTTCAGGCCCTGCCCAACTGCCCCACCCCTCCCAAAGCACCCTGCTCCAACCTCAGTGATCCTGGTCTCTCCTGGCTCTCCCTTCCCTCTCCCATAAACCCCCTTTCCTTCTCCTGTCACCGGTATGCCCCATAGTCTGTTCTTGAGGTTCTTCCTGTACCTCCCAGCAATGGTCTCATCCTCTCCTGTGACTTCAAATATCACCAATATGTGGGAAGCAGCAGCACCCCTTTCGAGAGACAGCCTGTCAATAAAATAAAAACGAGAGTATTTCCCTCATAGGACTGTATGAGGACTAGAGATGAGAAATCGAAACCACACAGCATACATCTGACACCCTAAAAGTGGTAGCCACTGCTCTTAAAACGCAGAAAACCACCAAAGGGTAGTGAGTGCCAGTGATGGGCTGGATTTGCTTTTTGCTTTCCCATGATTACTGTTGCTGGGCTAAGCACTTTTACTGAGGCTTCCCCCAGTACCCTGGCACTGCCACCAGCCCTCCTTTACTCAGCGATGGGAGGCCAATCATCACCTACCACCTAGGGAGATTCCCTCAGGCAGCAGGCACCCTACTAAGTGCTTTGCACGTGCTGGCAATCTGCAAGGGTGCTGCCCAGGATGAGGCTCCCATCAAGGCAGGCCCTGCATGGGCTGCAACCTGGGGTCCTGGGGCCTTCATTTAACTCTACTGCCAACCCTATGAGGGAGCTGTTAGCATCACGCTCCTTGTTAAAGCTAGGGAAACTGAGGCACAGAAAGGGTAAGGAGTTACCCAAGTGGTGGAGTTGAGATCTGAATAAAGACAGGTTCACACCAGCCATGCTCTTAACCACTGACTATAACCACCTCAGTGCTGAGCTCAAATATTCTAGAATATAAAATGTGAAAGTCACATGCTGCTGTGCCTTTCTGAGCTACTGCTAAAGTCCTGTCATCACAGACAGTCTGTTGATCTCAGCCTTTCAGATGCCTGAGTCGTAACACCGTGGTTTTACTCCGATTTCCCTCATTAATGTCTTACATAAATTATACGTTGCTCTGTGTCCTACCTTTTCACTCCTTAACAAGGTCATTTGTTGCATAGATATTCTTAATTCTAATACAGTCTAATTTATCAATGTTTTCTATAATAGTTAGTGCTTTTTATGTCCTGTTTAAGAAGTCTTTTCTTGTGCTGAGGTCATAAAGATATTCATCCACCTGCATTATCTTTTAAATGGTTTGGCTTGGCTGGTTTTTACTATTCATATCCAGAAATGATTTTTGTATGTGATACGACATACAAGTTTCATTTTTCCCATGTGGATATCAATTGTTCCAGCACCGTTTGTTGAAAAGAGCTTCCTTCCCTCCCTATTCTGCAGCGCCACTTTTGTCCACAGATGTGTGGATCTTCATGTAGGCTCTCTGTTCCACCCTGTGTCTGTCTTGTGACAGTACCACATTGTCTTTTTTTTTTTTCCCCAAAGCCCCGGTAGATAGTTGTATGTCATGGTTGCACATCCTTCTAGTTGCTGTATGTGGGACGCGGCCTCAGCATGGCCAGAGAAGCG